AAGCGAAGAGAAGACGAAGAACGTCATTATCTAAGTCAGATAGCATCATCCGATACAAAAAAATAAAGCAACAAAGTGACGAAGCGATGAAACAACGAAGCGACGAAACGACAAAGCGACGAAACGACGAAGCAACAAAGCAACGAAGAGACAAAGATGACAAAATAACGGAACGAGACACACTCAGGTGTCTCAAAATCTGACACACTCAGAGGTGTCTCGAATTCCGAGACACCATTGTGTGTCTTGCAATTCGAGACACCAAAGGGTGTCTCGCATGTGAGACACATAGTGTGTCTCGCACAGTGAACTCCCAAAATGTAATTTTGATAATTTCTTAGTATTCATGCAGTCCACTGGCTTCTTAACTGCCTTGGGAATATCCTCAAACATGGGAAAGTCGTTACTAACTGCAGATACATCCAAATTATGAATTCTTATCCTCAAACACAGCGTCTGAAGCCTATAAATACCCCCCATGCACTTATGACGAAGACTGACGGTGAAGGTGAGGTGTTGACGTTTTGAGAACAGATACCCACGGATTTCAAAGAGAAAGGCAAGATCTCGACGAACTTCATGCATAAATACAAAGATTTCGAGAGATCTATAGGCCTTCACCCCTTTTCTTGAGATCAAACATCGCTTTGATCCCGAGAAGAGTACTTGTCTCACCTTGCTGAGATATTTACTTATGTTCTTGTTTCCCGATTGAAACAAGAACAACAAGCCTTCTTCACAATCAACCTGGATCTGTGAATCGGACTTTTATGGACTAACACGTCCCCGACACAAGCAAAGATCTCACACAAGCAGCAACCAATAAATAGTTTTTGTGTGTGTTTCAAGAAAGTCCTATGTTTGTTTCTTTTGTAGTGAGAAGTCTTATAAAAAGGCTCACTCTGTTGAATCTATTGTAAGTCGATAAATGATTATAAATGGATTCTATACTGAAATTAATTTTCAACGCAAACACACAGGCGACCACAGTGGGAGCCAACAGTCTTGCTGCCGAGGCTGTTTCCTAGTTGAAACAAGAACACCGAGCTTTCTTCACAATCAACCGGGATCTGTGAATCGATCGTCCACGGACTAAAGCATCTCCGGCACAGGCAAAGATCCTACGCAAGCAGCGATCGATAATGAGTTTCTGCATGTGTTTCTAGGAAGTCCTCTATTTGTTTCTTTTGTAGTGAGAAGTCTTATAAAAAGGCTCACTCCGTCGAATCTATTATAAGTCGATAAACAATTGTAAATGGATTCTACACTGAAATTTATTTCCATCGCAAACAATTTGTGTTTGATTTTGTTTTACTCATTGTTTACACACACATCCACTTGAGTTTTAGTATTTCATATTAAGTAAAATCGGGTTGTGAGAGTGTTTCATTGAGAGATACTTATATTTCGTTCTCATCTATTTAGAGAACAAAATCCTTTACTCACACTTATTGTTAAAACACGTTGTAATACACAAGGACACTTAGAGGAGTGGTTGGGAAAGACCAGGGTTAATTCCAAGTGGAGTGATTTGGTCGTAAATCCTAGGGAGAGGTTGTAATTCCAAACACTTGAGATAGTTGACACGGGTAGTTCAACACTTAGAGAAGTGTAGTTTGTGTGATTGACATTGTGTGCATTATAAAAGTTATCGGTGAACTTTGAAAAACATTTTGTTTAGTTCTTGATTGATAGTGGAGATCTCCTCGAGGTGAGGAGCGGAGACGTAGATCAAGGGTTAACCGAACTCCGTAATCATATCTTGTGTTTTTTTATTGTCTTTGGCGCATTATTTTTCTTTACATCTTGTGTTTGTTATTTATATCGCCTATTGTCTTATTGCATATCCTTGCATATATTTTTGTATATCATATTGCTAGGATATTGCCTTATAAGTTTTAATTTGGCATCGTAATCAGATTAGATTAGCATTACCCTATACACCCCCCCCAAGGTTCTTTCACGATGAAGGTCCGAGACAAATACATTTCACCTGCGTCAAGGAGAGTCGACAATTACATTGCAGAATGTTGGGATTTTACTTGGCCTCAGAGTGGATGGAGATGCTGTTACGGGTACCGATGACTTCAACTGGATAGGAGTGTGTGAACAATTGCTGGGTCAAGCTCCTACTATGAAGGGTGGTAAGATCAAGCTTGAGTGGTTACGGAATAATTATATGAATGTACCGATCGATGTGACTGATAAGATCATCAAGAGCAATGCACATGCGTATATGCTCCATATGATCGGTACTGTTCTATTTCCGGATTCCACTAAGGACTCGGTGCATGTGAGATGGTTGCCACTTCTTGAGAATCTTGAGGAGTGTCGAGAGTTATCCTGGGGGAGTGTAGTGTTAGATTATCTGTATAAGGAGATGACAAAAGTGGCACTCGTGCAAAATAAAGAATTCAATGGTCGCAACACTTTGTTGCAGATATAGTCATGGACTCATGGGAGCGATCGCATTTGGGAACACCAGATTTGAGGGAGACCCGCACTCTCAATGGCTAGATTCCGTTAGGATGGAGGTATATTAGTTTGTAATAGATATGATTACATATAATTTTATACATTTATTTCAATTTATACTAACCCTTTATATATCAAATAGATGGAATGTTTCCAGATCTTGGCAAACCTCCCTAAAGGGTCACGAAAACTTCTACAAGAATGAGCTTGATCAAATGGAGGATGAACAGGTATAAAATCATAATATCTAAATATATTCAATCAATACATTATTTGTTACTGATATGTAAATTTACTGATATGTAAATTCACTACCAGATATTTGCAGAGAATGTGAAGATATATGGCATGCTCGAGTCTCGATTATATGTTATGAGATTGTCGAAATGCACGTGTCTGACCGTGTGCTCCGACAATTTGGATTAAAATAACATATTCTAGATCCTGTAGAAAGAATAGAGCGAAATCCCCGAAAAGGAGCACATCATGCAAGTTGGGAAATAATTCGTCATGCTTACATTCAGAATTGGGAGTTGAAGGAGGAGGCTGTAGTGCTGGAGAGGGCTGACGCACCTGACCTAGATGTGTACTTACGGTGATATTGGGGGATTACTCGCCGATGGTTATTTCTGGAGAACAAAGCACCTAAGGAGTACATACCAAGAGGTCTAGTTGAGAGAGAGTTGATAAGTGTATAGGCAAAATATACAATTATTTTGTGACTATTATTTTATTATCTCCACTTGCTAATAATCATCTTTCACTTTTTATCTTATAGGTACAAGAACTCGATGAAGTTACTTCTATTGCACATGATGTATTGAGAACGACTACAGAGCCAGGGCGAGGAGCGCGTTCCTTCGCATCATAGGAAAGATTCAGTCCGCTCTTAGGGTACGAGCATCAACGGGTCCAAGGACACACAAGAGCAGGCTCAAGTCATGCACATGATGAAGCTAGAGGCTCACAGCAAGCTCAAATCGGATGTTCGCAGCAGGTTCAAGTCAACGAGGATGTCATGCGCTCATAAGTTCACACACAACCGGACGTTGAGATCATCCGAGCTCATGTTGAACGTGAATGGGGAAGGGGGAGAGGAAGAAGAGGGAGAGGAAAGGGAGTTCTAAATATTTGTTAAATTTCGATATACTTCATACGATGTTTATGTTTGAAATTGAATGTTACGTTTGAATGATACGTATCCAATTGATTATGGATTTTTAGTAAGTGAATTGAATGTTACGTTTGAAATTGATTATGATTGGTATGTGTTTATTTGCGTTTGAAAATATATGTGTTTATTTCTGTTTGAAATTAATTATGGATTAATAAATGTGTACCAAGAGTTGGTGTTAAACTTGTGGATTGATATGTATTAGCAGGAGTGAGATTTTCCATACCAAATGGTCGGGGTTGGGAACCGTGACCATTTTGAATTAGGCGTCACGAAATGGTCGGGGTTCCCAACCCCGACCATTTTTGCAAACGCTAAATTTGTCAGGGTTTCGAACCCCGACTAGTTTAGGTACCAAATTACGTAAGTATAGCGGGTGAAGTCCTAATTAGTCGGGGTTGACAACCCCGACTAATTAGGATTGCGATTAAAAAAACCGACTCATTTTTTATCCACGAAGCTGACGTGACGAGAAAGTAGGTCGATTTTGGTAATAAAGTTTGGAGTGGGTCGATTTTTGGGATTAAAACTTTGAATGAGTATATTTTGAAAATCTGTTCTTGTGACAAATAAAAATGCCGATGCTCCCCTTTCTGCGGAAAACAAAAAAAATCCCTCGCATAAATTACCTGCGTTTGTCCTTTTTATTTGGGCATATTTACAAGAAAACCCCTTCATCTATAACATGTATATCAAGAAAGCTTTGCGCAAAAATGTCAATCACATTTTATGACTATTAAAAGGATAAATTTTTAAAATAAACCCTCTCAGAAAGTTATTCACCATTTTGACCTAATTTTTATTTATTTACCAATTTCGACTTAGTTTTAGCGGCATGAAATTCAAGTCTCTGTAAAATTTTAAGTGCAAACATATTTTTAGATGTCTACTCAAGGACAATTGTCTATAAAGATGTTTGAAGGAAAAAAAACTCTATTGTAGAATTAATATTGGAAGGTCTTCCATGAACTTTTTTAAATAAGAGGATTTCTTGAAATTCAAGATAGGATATAGATGAAGATTTTTTTTGTGTAATTTATTCTTTTTGTCGTATACAACCTTTTAAAGGGAAATCTACGTTCTACACTTTAGTTGGCAATTTCTATTCTGCAAGGGTACTAAAAAAAATTAAAATATCTTCCTTTGAAGTATGTGTCAACGTAAATTAACTTTGGATGTGTGTCAAACTGCTGTGACCTCAAGAGAGCGTATGTATACGCGGTAGAATCTCACAGTAACCTCAGACAACATATCTTTCGCATGATTTGCATTGATGATTGACAATTAAGAGGAAAATGATATTGGATTCCAGAATTATTTGCATATAGGGAATGGAGTGAAACTACAATTCTAACACGAACTCAAACATATTTGTCTATATCCAAATAAACAAAGAAATTTCAATTTAAAGCATCTTATGCTAATGGTACATGAAAAATCGATACCAAATGCACTGAAGAATCTATTATCTGAAAACATTAATCGCGTGCTCTTAGCAATTACGGGCATCAATTCTTCAGAAACACTGTCATCAGATACTCTAGATACAAAAAGATCATTAGGACTTGGGCAGTCCGGCTCACTATGAGTTTTTTCAGCTAATATAACAATAGTAACTCAATAGCTGCATTTAGAAATTTCGCCAGCTGACTCCAGCATGCTATCCGGAGCCTCAAAACTATTGAGACTATTTTGAAGCCAATAAAGTCGAGAGAGCATTCAGATAGCAGCGAATACTTGTAGCAATCCAAAAAAGTACACTTAACTGTAATTGCTATCAGGGTAATGAAGCTATCTTATGAGACAACCCCTCAACCGCCTCTTCTGTTTGTTCTGATAACGAATTTTCCTGTAATGAGAAGCACGCCAGAGTTTCATAATTGCATTAGCAATTTAACGAATTTACGAAAAGAAGCAATTAGAAGCCTATGAGCTTTCAGAAAAGCTTTAAACTAAAAGAATATACCTCTAAAGCATTTCAAAAGTTCAAGATGGAGAAAATATAGATGCATCATGTAGTATTGATTTCAGACTCACAGCAAAAGGATCAAATTAACTTGTTTAATTTACCAAGAGCTAACTAGGAATTGCAAAGTATATTAAAGTGGAATGATACTAATTTTGTTTATCCATTAAGACAACATGAGTTTATCAGTTCACTATATTTTGGTAGAATCATTTGCCTTGTGATGGTAAGCTGACAAGGAGGTAAGCCTTCAACCAACATATTGAAAGGATTTTCCAACTCTACTCTATTGAGGGGGTTTAAATTTTGTGGTAATAAGTGTCAATAAGAAGATTGAATTAACATAAAACCATAATCCTCGATCGTCATCATAACTTCAAAGTTTTGTCATAATGGTTAGAAGGACTTTCACATGGTATCAGAGCCAACCCGTGTTTGAATCTTGCGAGCTAAGATGGTATCTAAGCAACCAAGGTTCATATCTCACCGGCCACAAATTTAAAACGGATTTTCTATAAATTGACACCGCTGCATGAGTCCATGTTTCGACCCATAAAAAAGGGATGCTCAACTTGCAGAGGCATGGTAGAAATAATATAAAACTATAATCCTCGATCCTCCTAATAACTTCTGAGAACAGCAACCTACAGGGTGCCTAATTCAACAAAGTTGCCAAAAAATCAAAGCAACATACTTTAACTTCAATTCCAAGTTCAAAAGCCAGAAACTATAAACATGGTAGTGTATATCAACCTCATAAACGAAAACATCGGAACTTCTAGTTATGGAAAAAACAAGAATGAAGCAGAAGCAAGAAAAATATAGCAACAACTGTATATACATAACATCAGAGGAAAATATATAACATCACTAGGGTAAGGCTAATACACAGTATAAAATAAAGGGGATTTTTTTAAAAAAGACCATTTTTTGCTAAATAATTAGCAAAATCGACCATTTTGCTAATTATTTAGCAAAAATCGACATCTTTTTGGCCTGTTGGCCAAAAAGATGTTGATTTTAAAAAACAGCATGCTCGAAACATATGGGACTAGTAGTCCCGTATGTTCTAAAACCACAAACAAAACATACGGGACTAGTAGTCCCGTATGATTTGAAGACAGCTTGTGTCGGTGGGGAGTGGAGTCACATGGGTGGCCCCGCGGATGAAGGGTAGGTACGGTTACCGTGGCGGTTCACGCAGGATTGGGAAAGTAAGAAAAAAACGTACGATTTGTAAAGCAGAAACAAAACATACGGGACTAGTAGTTCCGTATGTTTTGTTTCTGGTTTTAGAACAGACTACTAGTCCCGTATGTTTCGAGCAGGCTATTTTTTAAAATTGACATTTTTTTGGCCTTTGGCCAAAAAGAGGTTGATTTTGCTAAATAATTAGCAAAATGGTCGATTTTTCTAATTAAATAGCAAAAAATGTCTTTTTTTTAAATCCCTAAAGAAAATGTAAACACGAATGAAGGTTCTAAGCAATAAGAAAAAATATTTGTTTTTCCTGCATAAATTTGAAAGGTCGGTATTTTGATGTATACTTACTCCATTCTCCTGTTCTCCTTTGACAACTACACACTGGGAAGCGCTGATGCTAGCACTCTTCAACAAACTACAATTTGGTCTGTTTATACCACTTTCTGTATCCTGCAGATTTACTGAACCTTCCCCTTGCTGTGTCTTCAGAGAACTTCCAGAAATGGGAGCAGCAGAAGCTTCAGAGGCTTCATCTTTAGATACAATTACCCTCTCCCTTAACAAGAAGAAAGAAAATTAGCACACGTTAACGAAACTTAACTTTGAAAATGTAGCCGAGAATTAGTATATACTATGCTTAACAGACGGTTATTGTCAGTTGACTATAAAGTAACTAGCTACCTGATGAAGATCAAACTGTAAATCAGAATTTTTCAATCTGACATCTAGTCAATGCCTTATTCCCCCGGCATACCCAGTTTCAAAATTGCTACCTAATGGGATTCAACATAACCCAGGAGCTTATGTATTCTAGCAACCCCTTGGTTGGATACGGTGAGTATTTATACTCTACAACAGGCAACAGACTGATTAAAATTTGATAACATCTAAATTCAACTAAAACATATTTATATGAATTTATTAACTTTTACAAGCACGTAAGATATGCACCTTTACTATGGGTGCATGTCAGTTGGGCCCTGTTCATTAAGTGTTAAAAGACTCAAAACATGTTAGGTTCTCTTCTGCGCAGAAGATGGGGATATATCTAATACAAAAGAAATTTCCCCAAAAAACTATTACGAAGCATTGGTTTTTAGTGGATAATAAAAACTGACTTTCAAGCAGACATGCTAATTTTAGATAACAAGCCATGTCAAACTAATGGAACTCTGAGTACAACCAACCAGTTAAAAGAAACTCCAGTTAAACAAGTGAAACAAGCGAGTTAGATGGGTCAATTTTTAGCCAAAAGCTGGTGACTACATTGAATATTCAGTAACAAGCCCTCATCAGTTTTGATATATTTTATTACCTAGGCAAAGAGGCATGTGTCTGCAAAACTGGAGTCTTTCTTTCTCCTTTGCCAGCATGCTCCTCAAGATGAGCAAATTGTCGCTTAAAACGATCAACGCCGCTACAAAAGAATATTAGTAAGTGCAAATATTCAGTATGATCTAACAGTACAGTCTAAAGTCAATGTGTTCAGAATAAGGAAATAGATAGATATAAATCTACTTTATGAAAAAGATGACAGGATGAGTATAATGTTACATGGAAAGTTGTTTTAACTTAGAAAGTGGGACAAGGTCTTCGTTCTCAAAGAGACTATGCTTCATGTGCTCGTCCATTGTTACCAAGACGCAAGGCACAATGCAGAGCGCAAAGTCCCCCTGCGCACACTATGCACAAGGTGCAAGGCAATGCGAGCGAGGAGCATGCCACAAACAATTCTTTTGATACATATATCAAACTAAAAGGTATCAAACTAAAAGAGCAACATGTATATGAATTCTGATAAAAAAAGTTGTCAAGAGAAATAATGTCACCTACCAAATCACAAAATAGGGCCTTAATTAATTTAACTCTTAACTGTCCATGTTTCCAGTAATTAATCACAGTATAAAATATAAAATAACTTCTGCTATGAAACCTGCATCCAGGAACTAACATTCTAAGCAGAACATCTAGCATTACATATCCAGACCTCAATTCAAGATGCTTCCCACACAACTCAACTTAAAAAACAGACACATAATCAAATTATATATTATTAATAATTGCTGATGTTGTAATATCTAGCATAATAAATTATGATTTCACAATCTATGTTCCAGATATAGAAGTAGTACGAATAAGAAAGAGGGAAACAATGAGAAAAGATGAGGGAATAGACAAGGATTTGGCTAAGAGGAGAAGAGAGGGAGGAAAGACAGGCAAAATAACAGGTGGAAGAGAAGGAACAAGAGGATGTAGTTGCAGTAATAAAAGAATGGTGAGGAGCATTGAGCCAACCGAAATGCATCAAGGCACGAGGCGCAACAAGGCAAGCACCTCACTTACGTGATGCACCCTGCACCTAATGCAGAGCACAGTTGCAGTGTCTCGCAATGCTCAGCCCTCGAGGCGATCACCTCAGTGCACCTGAGGTAAAACTGTTGTCAACCATGTAGCCAATAACTTCAACACAATGAGTTGGACAAAAATTACCTCAAATTAAAGCAATAAGATCTCTCATCAAGCTGACTACATCTTGCTGCATCATCTTCTATAATTAAGTTCCCGACAAGCATGGATATAGTTAGGCCCTACTTCTCTAAAATGCCTTCTTCTCAAGCTCAGGAAAGATAGTAGAGGACTAAATTATTTTTGGAACACTTATAGGATTACATGTATTCCCTCAAAATATTCTTTACCCACCAGATAATAATTTTGAAGTTTGAACCCACATCCTAGGACTAGGAGGATAACACGTGAGTTAAGAAGCTTCAAATTTGAACTTATAAAATGCCTTAACATCCCTTTGTAGAGACTCCCGCCTATTTTCACAATCTAAACAGGTAACTGAAAATATATAAGACAAAAGAAAAATTAAAATTGGGATCCATGACTCAGGAGAAATATGAAGACTCATATTCCTAATCAAATCCATTTGCATCTGACCACTACCAACATGATCATGGCTTCCTCCATGTGCCTACAGACACTAAATTGCTTCCAGAAGCATTAACAATCTCCAGCCCCCATGAACTTCACCTATTAAGAAATTTAGTATTCCATCCTCTTAATAACCTAGCATGCTGCTGGCCATGCTGAAACCTAAATTCTTTGACTACACTGTTAAAGAAATTACCTAGCATCCCCACCAATCTTCTCTTTTAATCCCTTATGCCCTGCATCCTATCAAAAATACCAATATTATGAAAAGACATTTAAATTCCACTTATCCCCCTCATATCTGAGGCCAACCAAGACCAGGATAATAGATGCACCGGGAGAGGAAAGGTGAGGCAGCAGTGGATATCATAATCATCACCACCACAATCCTCATCTTTCCCCAGGTTGGCTTTGAAATAAAATGCTCCATATCAATGGGAATACTAATGGAAACAAAGCCAAATACGATTAACCCACTAAATAGTGAATACAACCCAGGAATCCAGATCAAACAATATGGAGGAGAACGGTAGGAAAACTCAGTTACCCTAACATCAACCCACTTATAGTAGTATTGAACCTCCCTTCAAATCATCCAAGCTTTATGGAAGATCAAAATTATGTATTCATTCCGCCATTGATATTTTTTCTTCTACAAATCTTTTGTGCATGCATACATGGGTGCGTGTGCAAGGTTGCCACAAAATTTGTGAACTGTATGAGGGTGAACTTAAAGCTAAAGCACAGTGTATAGAACAGTTCCTGATATCAGGCCAGGTAAACAAAAGATAACAGATCAACAGAGGATATGTCTCCTGGATTATTCTGTGTCTGAAGTCAGTGTGTTGGATATCCAGACACCCATACAAGTGTAATACCTATCTACTAGAATTCCACTATTAGTACAATAACTTGGGGAGTAATCCCAAATCTTACAATTCATGTGTTTTTTATGTTTTTCCGACTAAAATTAGTTCATTTGTTATCTTAAATTCCCAATAAGTTCAACACCAGTCAGCCAAATTTTATGAAAAAATAAAATTATATGGTGCAACAGACTATGTTATTCAAATTTATACAATTGAAGATATCATCTTATAAGGAGAAACATATTTTGATTCATCACATTTTAAAACAGCACCTAAAGATAGTGATGTGTATATATACACAATATGACTCCTAATTCTGATACTTGACACCTATACTTAACACGGAGAACAAAAATTCCGCACCCATACCCGTCAGTGAGATATAATGATGGATGCGTTACCTTGGATACATAAAGCTAGTCTGCTCTCCACCACGAAGATATTCCTGAAGCATCTGTGGATGATACTCTAATATCTGTTTGCTTCTAGAAAATTCAGTCCTCGCAAATAAGTTGACAAAGGCAACTAAGCTATTAAAAAGAAACGTATGAGGTGTGCATTTGTACCTCACGATAAATTAACTCCCGCACATCATCTTTTGCCAATCGTCTCCTTTCAAATTCAAATTCAAGTTTGGAAATAGGCTGCGTTGATGGTTCACGGTCTACATTAGCCAAACCTTTAAAGTATGGATCACCTAGTGCCTGAAAGACAGAAAAAAGAAAATTACAACTATCAGGATACACATGTACATACAATTAAGCAACCTGTCATCACAAATTAGTTTAAAACATATGTGAACTTTTTAGATTTGCATTCTTATCTCTTCTGCAGAAGGACGATCTTTAGGATCAAATGCAAGAAGGCGTTCGAGTAGACGTAGAGCCAAGGGATCTGCGTCAGGGAACTTCCGCGAGAACGGAATTGGTGGCTTTTTGCGCATACCATTTAAATACCTTTTCGCTTTTTCATTTCGGATCTGTAAAAAAAAAGGAATTATATTCAGAATGCACACATTTAAAATAGCAATATGTGTGTGTGTGTGTGTGTGTGTGTGTGTGTGTGTGTGTGTTTCTTTTTATCAGGTGTGAATACAGTATTTAAAAGTAGCCTAGTTTGAGAATCAAATTATCCCTAGAACAAGACATTCTCGAGATTATTGAGATCGCATATTTTCTTTTAGACCTAATCCATAGATCCATTAATAGAGGTAAGATAGCATCCTAAAATTAAATTATATTTCTAATTCTGTTGCCCTCTGAAACATGAGCTCATCCATGAATTGCTAACAGCCTAACACTCTCCTTCTTACTTTGTCCTTCAATTTTGGGTAGAGGTCTTTCATAACAACATGTTCTCTTAAATCTATGCAAAAGAAATTAACTAATTATTTACTCTTGCAAACTATATGGCTTCTCATTTTTAGTTAATCTGAATTTCTTCATTACCTTCAGGTTGTCATTAGCTTGTCCACTCTTAGTATATATACAGGTATGATCCATACCTTCAACATACGAATTTAGAAATTTTGACTATGGTATAAAGAATGCATTACATATCGATATTTATGCATACAAAATTGAAGTATACATCAGTGTTGTAAATAAGAAATGATTTATGTGAGTGCAGTATTAAGTAATCCTATTCATTGGTGAAATTATCATAGATCTTCTACTCCAGCTGGTTATCCAGTTAGGCAAACATCAGAAACTTGCAATGCAAATGGGAAAGGCAGAACTCACGCTTTGCCATATAAAAAGAGAATGAAAGCTGTAACCCTAAACATGGACAGAAACTACCAAGAAACTAGACTGCTAATATAGACTGAAACTATAAAGAACACCAACCCTTGAAATTGTTTCAGGAGGTGGAGTGCCAAGCAGATCAGTCATGAGATCCAACTGATGCACCACGTTCTTACCAGGAAACAAAGGCTTCCCCAATAACATTTCAGCAAATATGCATCCAATGCTCCAAATATCAATTGCAGGGGTATACTGCAAAAATAATAATTACTGGAGAATCAATTGGGATCATCCCAGTGAAGTATAATTTAGAAGTAGATAAGCATCTGCCTAATGCTAAGAATAAAATCAATTACCATGCAAAACATATACATCTTTACATAGGACAATAGCAACTCTTTATTCAAAATACTTCTATTGTACTGTCAACTTTGCAATCGAGTGTTACTCAAAAGAAAAATTGACCTAAAAATAAACAAATATAGTCATTCAGCCAAAAATTCCCATGCCTTGGATCTCGCTGGAAGAGATATGTACACTTTTTACACTAAAAAAGTACAGTGATGGTCAGAATATGATTCAATATAAGATTGACTAATTGTCTAATGGGAAGTATGACAGGACCTGGAGAAAAAGGCAAAGAATGAGATTATAAGCTAGCACTGTGATTTCCATAAAAAGTGTGATACTGAAATGCAAACAAATAAAGCAAACAAATGCAATGGGAAACTGATATTTTGTTTTTGCATATTAGATAGCAGATTTTAGACATTTAAGAAACAGTACATCATCTTGTAATCTCAAGATTAGATAGTGGACAAACTAAAGAAACAGCCTCCCCCTTCTAGCAAAAGGCTTAAAAGAACCAAATTGAAAGAAGAGAATCTGCGGTTACACTTTCTCAACCAGCCTAGCACGCCTACATCCTCTCTCCTCCCTCCCTCTGCACCCTGTTATGAAAAAGAAAAGGGAAAGAAAAGTTGACCACCATACCTTTTAAAAACTCTACTCGCAGGATATGTATCTGACTAATAGAAAATTTGACCCCATCTTTGCTTAATCTGAGCTTTTTTTTATCTTCTCCAAAATGAGAGGACTACTTCCAGTGTTTCCAAAAATGTTTCTGATTCTGACCTAGGTTTCAACCCACTGGACTTTATCTAAAGGAGTGTCAAACCTTCTAAATAATTCTAGGTTTTATAATGTCTTAATTCATATGATGTCTGTCTGAACTACTTTATGAGAAAATGTTCTAAACATATGTTCTAAGTTCCTAATGAGGATCATCGGGATTATGGAGGTTTCTGAGGATTTAAGGTTTAGACGAACTATGACTTTGATGAAAGTGGTGACAAGTGGCAAAGAGATGAGAACAATGACATCACCTTTTCTCTTTCTGCATTTCCCCCTCTAACATTAAATGGATGACATACTAGTAAACAGATGTCAATCTACAATTTCTTAATTAAAGCTTGTTTAATTTAAAAGGTTTGAGAAACTTGGAAGTAAGTTTCAAAATGTATGGGAACCAAAAATTCACATTATTATTGGCATGGTGGATGGAAAAACTAGCTGATTTTTTACAGTCTGTTGGTTAAAAATGTGAACATCTTTGGCCATAGTTTGCTAGAACGAGGTTCATTTTGTTCCCAAATAACATGGTGTTTAGCAAACTAAAAAATAATGCCAATAATTTATAGTCCAGTGGATGTGTTGACAAACAAGTTGCCAGATTTGTGTGCTTTCTCGCTAAAAGAGACTAGTAGTTCATTATAAGAAATGGAGGTAGTCATGTGATGGATATTTTCATTAAAGACTTTCCACTGTTTCAGATAGACTACCACATTCCCTTGTTGTGCAAGGTCACTGTTTCATAAGTGAGAATCACCTATTTTAAGCAACTGATATGAAATAAACTACTGCCTATGGCTACAAACTAGACAGGTCCATTCTGTGTGGAGTTAATGAATGGACCATTTTTAATGGGGCAGTTTGTCAATGAATTGAGGAGCCTGAGGGCATGCACGATACTTGGCTCTTCGTGGAATATTGACAAAATGAGGAATGGGAACATATAATGGGAAGATAACTGACATGGATGTGAATGAGATAACTGCCCTTCCAGAAAATTTAACAGGAAAAAACAATTGATTCTTTGAAAAGAGGACAACAGAATCTTTTCTTTGCAAAGACAACTCTGGTATACTGTGCAGGACCTGCAGGTTTATTGAATTTTCTAGCAATGGTTTCACACATGGGTACACTTTAGAAGAAGAAAATTGAAGTTGTTGAATTGGAAGTTAGTAACCGAAATAAAGGAGAGGATCACATACTTGGATTTTAAAATAACTCAGAGGTTTACTGTGTTTTGTGTATATCTTGTAGTTCTGGTGTTTCTGGATCATGATAGCCACTTCTACATATTCTTTTTTGGTTTCCTAAATCCATTATTGACCCTAAATTCAGTATTTATTTTCTTGATGAAATAGACTTGAACATGCTTCATGTCATTTAAATTAAAGCAAAGGTGACGCTTGCAGTTGTGTCTTGTGTGCCAGATACAACTTACTACAGACATAATAACCCAGAGGTTACTGTCATATAGTATACAGCGTTTAATGTGTCTTAGCACCTCAGGCGCTCAGGCGAGGTGATTTTCTAACTTAGTATCTTGTGTATTGCTAGGCAATGAAGGTAACTGAGGCGAGCACCCCAAGAGCTCGCCTTAGAGCCTCATAATCTTGCCTTGGTGCCACAGGCGCGATGCTCGCCCAAGGCATGTGATGTAAGATGCATGATGTTTGTCTCTCTTTCAAAATTTTGAGGGTGTGAAAAGTATTCGACAAAATAAAGTTGTTTTTATTATTGAATTTCTGTGTTTCATTTTTCTTGGTTGATTTTGTACGTTTCTTGTAGTAATGTACTTTATTACCCATATCATTTTGAGGACATGCCACAATTTGAACCTTAAAATTCAAAGTTTGCTGCTTAATAATATGTTTAGCAGGCCTAGTTAATATTACAATTCAGTATTTGTTACTTACTACTATTTTTTGATGGTTTGTAAATTATTAGATTTGTGACTTTGAAATTTTGGCATTGCTTAATTTGTCTTGTTGCTATCTATTGATATTTGCATATTATTTATAATATTTATGAATTTTTTGAATATCTATCACCTTGGTTCACTCAAGCGTTCGCCCTTTTTTGGCACCCATCGCCTCAAGCAACATAGGACCTCATCGCCTAGACCTCACCTTTTGCTTTTAAAATATTGATAGTATATTACTGTCGTATGGTAATCTGTTGAACATTGTTGTCACCAAAGACTAAAAGGGTAAAATAAGTCTCAACCAAAGAGGGTTTGTTGCCACAATTTGTTGTGATGTAGAAGCAGTTCAATAATGTTGTTTTTCATTGTTAATAAATATCCACTCTCACACAGTGAGTAATGTATCTCTACTGCACCAATAAAAAAGGTTAGTCTATGAATACATAGAGAAATACTTGCCATCTCCTTTCTCACAGGCAGACATGCAAGCATGCACAATTACACACCGTGTCATGCAGCTAATGCTTCAATTTTAGGCTTCATAGCTCAAAAAGAAATCATCAAGCACATGAGATGGATAATAACAGACAAGCTCAGAGTTCAGTCTTTTTATATCTCTAAACTATTATTGATGTTTCAACTTTCACGCTAAGAGTTCCAAATCAGTTTTTAAGGCTTCTTGACATAGCATATGTGATAGAAGAGAAAATTCACAGCCCATGCCACCTAAAGCTCCAGCATTGCCTTCTTTATAGAATTTTGAGTTGATGCTTTCCTTCAATTAACTGCAAATGCCCTTTGTTTTAAGAAGTAATCCTCAACAATGATAGAGGGTGCACAGTAAGTATCCTAAACATAGAAAGATGCACAAGAAGACGAAGAACGACGAAGTAATAGAAAAGAGAAAGCAAATACTTTTTGAGCTCAATAAAAAGACTAAATGTTGTGTATAGTATTACCTTCGAGAAAAAAGAGCCACATAGTTCCGGAGCACGGTACCATCGTGTTGCCACATAATCCTATAATGCAAAAACAAAGAGAACGTAAGTTAATACAATTATTTTTTAGGGAGATTTCAGGGCTATCATATATCATCTGCTGCTTCCTTTTTTTAGGAGACATATCATGTGTTTGTTAAAGCATTGAAGTAGAATGAAAGACATAAGACCTGAGATCACCTTACCCCACCAAGTGACAACCATCCAGTAAACAAATAAAACCAGCATTAGGATATCAAAAAATTTCAACTTAAAACAAAACTATTGCTCAGAGGAAAAACTACATACTGTCCAAAATATAGCTGATGGTGCGTCATCGAATGAAACACGAGCAAGACCAAAGTCACAAACTTTCAATTTGCAGTCCGCATTTGCAAGGATATTCTTTGGCTTCAAATCTCGATGAAAAACATTAGCTGAAGAACAACAAAAACATGTAATCAGCAATCAATGAATTGTTAAAAAGAAAAATACTTCCCTGCAAGGACAGCGGGAAAAAAAGGCATTCACCAGAATGAATATATTTCATAGCTCGCAGAAGCTGGTAGAGGAAAAACTGGTGATGTTCAGGTGTGAGATCATCATTTGCCTTTATAACTTGATGAAGGTCAGATTCCATCAACTCAAAAACAACATAAATATCTCTAAATTCTCTCCGAGAGGGGGGAAGCATTATATGCTTAATTTCTACAAGATCAGGGTGACGGAGCAACCTAAGCAACTTGATCTCTCTTAGGATGCGAGTGGCGTCTGAAACATGCTCGAAGACATCATTTATCTTTTTAATTGCCACCTTCTCTCCAGTGTGGGTATCCACTGCAGCCCCAACTACCCCATAACTTCCTTTGCCAACCACCTCCTGTATATGGTATCGGCTTGCTTCTCCGTATTCAGTGAAGAAGTCTGCCTCATTTGTGCTCTGTTAAGTTTAAAGATTAAAGCTAGTTAATTCCCAAAACAAAAGAAGAAAACGAGATTCAATATAGCACACCCCAGCATAGATAAACTACTCAATTTCAACTCTTCCCAGTCATCTTCCAAAATCAGTTATTATATACCAACAGGTGCAAATGTATGTAAAAACTAAATTTTCTTTGTTATTATTAACATAGAGACCTTCCAAAGAAACGCTGACATTATTTTGAAGTGTGAGAAAGAATAAAATACTAAGTAACCCAATAATGAGATGATTGGGGATATCTCAATTAAGCCGACATTAGAGGTTTGATGGCAAGGTTGACTACAACTTAGTTGTCTGTTTGGGTTCGAATCTACTTTGGTTAGTGCCAAGTCCACACCCCAAGAAACTGTGGGGATGAAACGGGTTGTGATGGATCACATAATAACAGAGTTAGCAGGGAAGCAGGGATTCCTTATCAAGCGATAGAAAGATGTGCTTCTATACATGCACAAAAAAACAATAAAATGGGAAACAAAAATTGCAGTTGCAGACCCAAGAACTTCCAAAGGAGATTAGTGGAAGAATGTCAGCATATTATCATGCAGACAATAGATTGAGAATAATTATGCTTTCTCTGCTTCTAATTTGAAGGACTTGTCATTAAGTCAAGGTTTCAGCTCCAAGAAATGTATTTATGAAGCAGCAGTCCCTTTCCTTTATTGGGGGCAGGGAGGAAAAAATGAACTCTTTCAAATTACAAATTTTAACTCGTTTGGTTTATATTTGCAGAAAACTAAAGCGACATTTTCTTTTTCCGAAGGAGCCACGATGGGTCATTTGGTAAGGATGGTAAAAATGCACGCATAGTGTTTCATAGTTTCATATGTTCCACTTAATAAACTCAAGTTTGAGACCCCATCTTCCTCTCAAAAAAGAAAATATTCCTTTACCGCCAATACATAAAAACAATAATCCATTGAAGTATCATCCATGAGAATATAAAAACAAAGAAGAACATCTCAAAGGATCTTAAGAATCCACAAAAGTCCGCACTGAATAGAAAGATATTCATACTTTCCCCAGTTAAACCAGCACAAACAAGTCTCCTACTAATAAAGGCACAAACTTTTTTACTATACATGTAATGGACATGGTCCGCAATTAGATTAAACTGAATCCAGCAGATAAACATGGTTGAAGGGGAAAAAAAATCATAAAACAGTTACTAAAATAAAATAAAGGAACGTGTTAAGAGTACAATTGCAAAATCCTAACTTGCAGCTAACCTCCAAATCACAGAAATAGAAAATCCTAGAGAATATCAAGTCAACTCTTTATCATCCAGATTCTTAAAAAAAACCCAAACTTTACAAACAAAACAAAACAAAGATAAATAAAGAAATCAAAAGATCTCGATCGAACCTTCTTATCAGCGGCCATTGAGGTGCGTTTGGGAACCCTAACAGAGGTAAGAACAGTAAGGTCGTAGTCGACAACAGCTCGAAGCTCTTCTTCCTTCTCTTCTTCTTCTTCTTCTCGATTTTGCTTGGGGTCGTTAAAATGAGTGGAGACGCTGTGATCTCGGCGCTTGAACAAGCGACGGACGCCGTCAACGAACGCGCCTCGTCCTCCCATTTCAAACCGTGGGCATTGTTGTCCACGAGCTTCGCTCTGCGGTCGCCAGCGGTGATCGGACCCCTGCGAGCGATGCGGAGGAAAGAGAATTGAAAATTAGGGAGGGGCTTTCTCGCAATTCCTGCTTGCCTGAGTCGACGGCGTGTAATAGTTGGACAGAGGTTATGGCGAAAATACGGAGAGAGGCTTTTCAGTGGATGACAGTTTAAGCTGTAAGATTCGTGGCAAGCTGTGATTAGATGCTGCAAAAAGTTTGATGGAGGCAGATATTTATGTGCCACGTCAATTTTTGTTACCTCCTTTGGATTACCGCGGGACTGATAATTATGCGTAAACTAGTTCTTGTGCACGTGTAACGCACGTGGTTAAAATATCAAAATTATTATTTTTATTTATTTTCTTATTATAAAATAAGTCAGGTTCATTTTGAGTTAAAATCTAGGGAAAAATGCTTTCAGCCCCCAAATTCGTAACAAATATGCTTCCCCCTCCCAAGACTTTTTCAACGCTCTAAAAACCCCCAAATTCGTAATAACTATGCTCTGAGCCCCCAAAACACAAAGCCCAAGAATTTTACACAGGTAAAGACTATAATACCCATTCTCTCTCTCTAATATTATATTCGTAATAACCCCATACAATCCCTCCTCTCTCCCTCCTCCTTCCCCCACCATTTTTGCCCTAGCCCCCTCCGTCCCTTCTGCAACCCTCGTGGCGGCCGAAGCTCCTCTCCGGTCTCACGCCTCGACCCCTCGCCTCCGCTCGCCGAGATCCTCCGTGTCCACCGCCGATCCCAGCGCGGCCTCCGCTCGACCCCTCGCTCGACCCCTCGGCCTTTGCTCGCCGAGAATATTTCATGAAGCTCAGAACCTCAACCTTAACCTGTCCCTGCAGTCTGGGCCTCGTCCCGAGCACGCACGAGTTTTCTCGTGTAACTATTGCAGACAGACTTTTTACAGCACCCAAGCTCTTGGAGGACACCAGAATGCACACAAGCTGGAGCGCAACCTAGCGAAGAAGAGCAGAGAGATGGCTAATGATTGAATTGATCTCGTAATGACACGTGCGAACTTGATGTTTCTTTGTAGCTTCTGAAGCTAATGCATCTAGATTTACTAGCAACAGAGTTTCTTCCTGTCACATGTTTTCTTTTTGGGATCTTTTTCTTTTTTTATTTTCCCCCTTCAAAATAAGTTTTCCTGTTCGAAAAAGAATGCCTCTTCTCTCTTGCATCAACGGTATTTTCTTTCTTCACGTTTAATATACATGTACCCAATGATAGTTATCTTTTCTATTTGCAGATAAGGTTACGGTTGTTAAGGTTACGGGTTGTTAAGATTACGGGTTGCTTGTTAAGGTTACGTGTTGCTTGTTAAGGTTACGGTTTGCTTGTTAAGGTTACGCGTTGATTGTGAAGATTAAGCTTAACAACCAACCCGTAACCTTAACAACCAACCCGTAACCTTAACAATCAACGCGTAACATTCACAACCAACGTGTAACCTTAACAAGCAAACCCGTAACCTTCACAAGCAACTCGTAAAACCTTCATAAAAATAAAAAAAGGAAGGAAATAGAAAAAAAGCTTTAATTTTTTGTACTTCTACTATAATAATTCATAACTTCATAAAATAAAAAGCAGTAACAATTCTATACTTTTCTTCAGAAAATTCATGCTTACAGCACCACATAAAACTGTGCAATGTATGATTACTTTCATTTTACCACTCAACACTCACTGAGGAGGTGGACTGCCATGGTTTTGAGACCGTTGACAGGGTAGAGGAAGAAGACGATGATGCATACATTTGTTTTAGGTAGTGGGAGTGAGCTAGATTTTGTAATAATATTTCACTTTTAATTTTAATGAAATTTTCAAAAGCCAAACGATTTATGTGTTGGTTGTTAAAGTTACAGGTTGCTTGTTAAGGTTACACGTTGGTTGTTAAGGTTACGTGTTGGTTGTTAAAGTTATACGCGTTGGTTGTTAAGGTTTTGGGTTGCTTGTTAAGGTTACACGTTGGTTGTTAAGGTTACGTGTTGGTTGTTAAAGTTATACGCGTTGGTTGTTAAGGTTTCGGGTTGCTTGTTAAGGTTACGCGTTGGTTGTTAATGTTACGAATTTTCAAAAGCCAAACGATTTACGTGTTGGTTGTTAAGGTTACAGGTTGCTTGTTAAGGTTATACGTTGGTTGTTATGGTCACGCGTTGGTTGTTAAAGTTATACGCGTTGGTTGTTAAGGTTTTGGGTTGCTTGTTAAGGTTACACGTTGGTTGTTAATGTTACGGATTACTTGTTAAGGTTACGGTTAATCTTAACAACCAACGCGTAACTTAACAAGCAACCCGTATACATTAACAAGCAACCCGAAACCTTAACAACCAACACATATAACCTTAACAAGCAACGCGTATAACCTTAACAAGCAACGCGTATAACCTTAACAACCAACACGTAACCTTAACAAGCAACGCGTATAACCTTAACAACCACGGTAAATTTCCCTGCAGAAAAAGATGAATGAAGTATTTAACACACACGCACAAGTTGTATGAAAAGACATAAAGTACAATAATTTCCAAGAACGACAGCACTATAGATGGTGGGGGATGATGGACCTGAGGGATGGAGAGGGGGGTTTGATGTGGCGTCTGGGGGAGGAGGGATTGGGTTGGGAACAGAGGCGAGGGGTCGAGCGGAGGCCGCGCTGGGATCGGCGGTGGACACGGAGGATCTCAGCGAGCGGAGGCGAGGGGTCGAGGCGTGAGACCGGAAAGGAGCTTCGGCCGCCACGAGGGTTGCAGAAGGGACGGAGGGGGCTAGGGCAAAAATGGTGGGGGAAGGAGGAGGGAGAGAGGAGGGATTATATGGTTATTACGAATATAATATTAGAGAGAGAGAATGGGTATTATAGTCTTTACCTGTGTAAAATTCTTGGGCTTTGTGTTTTGGGGGCTCAGAGCATAGTTATTACGAATTTGGGGTTTTTTAGAGCGTTGAAAAAGTCTTGGGAGGGGGAAGCATACTTGTTACGAATTTGGGGGCTGGAAGCATTTTTCCCTAAAATCTATAAACATGATTTGTTATATTTTTCATAAATTTTATTTAAATATTTTTAAATTTTTTATGAAATAGATGACTAATTTTGAAAATATCTTCGGACCAGGAATAAACAACTAACAAGTTTGTAAGGGAAGATAGGGTAACATAGTACATTCTTAAGAATTATTAATCTTTACTTATTTTTTTTTATAATTATATGATCTCATTATTAACTAACTATAAGGTTTAGTACATTATTGACGTTCAAGGTAGGCAAAGGACCCATGTGAGTTTTCATCACAATGAATGTTATACAATTTAAGTACAAAGAAAAAAATAGGGTTGATCAATGGTGTAGTTGGTGAGGGAAAATTCCAGCAGCTTAATTTGGCATGTGGATATATACACTTGTAGAAAATTGAACAAACTAGACGGAACAAACTAGACGGAATTTTTTTCCGTCTAGTTTGAGGCAATCTAGACGGAACAAATTCCGTCTAGTTTGTTCCGTCTAGTTTGAATCAATTTAGACGGAAATTTCTGTCTAGTTTGACAAACTAGACGGTTTTTATTTTTTTTAAATTAACACTTCAATCTAGACGGAATTTCCGTCTAGGTTGATACAACCTAGACGGAAATTCCGTCTAGATTGTCTAAAAAAATTACGGAGCCTCCCCCCTCTTTTTTCATTTCCCCGCCTATATTTTCATTTCGGCGCCTTTTTTTCTTCCCCTCTCGATCTAAACCCCACCCCCTCTCTTTCCCCAAATCTCTCTCTCTCGTCTCCACGCCGCCTGCTCCTCAAAACGGCGCCGAGATCCTCTCATCCCCCCCTCCACCTCCACTGCCAGCGCCGCCCTCTCTCATCTCCATCCTCACCAAGCCCTCAACCCCCCCCGCACCCCCCCCCCCGCCTCTACCTCCCAAACCCTAACCCTAGCCCCAAGCACCCCGTCCTCCTCTACTTCCACGGCGGCGGCATCGTTATATTCTCGCCCGCCTCCGGCCTCGTCCACCTCTCCTCCACCGCCCGCTCCACCCGCATCCCCGCCCTCGTCGCCTCCGTCGCCTATAGCCTCGCCCCCGAGCACCACCTCCCCGCAAAGAGATGTCGACCGCTGGAGAACTTGCGTACTCGTACGCCGCCATCATCCTCTACGACGACGACATCCCCATTACGATACTCTTTCTTCCCTTTCCCCCCAATTTCAAGAATTAGGGTTTTGCTTCTTTCAATCTGCGGTTATTTAATTTTCATGAGGTTTAGAATAGAATTATTCTACAGTTTGTATGGATTACTGGGTGATTAGGTCACTAAGAATGCAATTATCATTAACTGGATATGTTTGGCAACAAATGCTTCTTTACTGTATAATGTCAAATTGTAAAAGCTATGGAGACTTGGGATCCAAATAATGCAATTTCTGTATAGAAAATTAGGGCTATAGAACCATGGTCAGTTCTGTCCCTGGTAGGTAGTTAAAATTTTGTACTTGTTAATGCCTATTTTGGATATGTTACATCTAAACTAACTAATAGGGGAGATATGACCACTAATTTGTACATTATTTCAACTTCTTCAGGGGGTAGTGATCTTCTCAGTTCGGAGACAAATAGCAGCGTAAAGGACACAAAAATTTCAATTGATTGCAGTAGGCCGGAGTCTCCGGTTGTGGAAACTTGCTCTAACCCATGTACGCGAGGTAAAATTCTATGGTTGGAGATAACTGAAATTTTTTCAGTAAAAAAGGTAAAAAGCTTGGATCCTTGAACAATAATTTTTTGCGTACAGTTCTTATGATAGAATGTCAATGTTGAATCCTCATCTGCAGTTGTGTACTCATTCCTTTTCCATGTAAGTATAAAATTTTTCTACTTAACTTCTAAACTTCCTTTGGTTTGGATGATGGTGACATAAAGGAGGCATAATCACTTTAACTGATAGCTCAAACCAGAGATAGACTTTAGCTTCACTGATACCTACATTTTCGATAATCTTTTTAGTTTCTTATGCTTGAATGTCGATGTGTCCAAAAACTGTATGACAAGTATTTTAAATCAAAACATGTATCTTGATTTACAGCTGAAATCAATGATATACATGGAGTACCCTGTGTAAACACTTCTGGTATTTTCATGGAGTTATGAT